AGATCTTTATTTCTTTTTGTAGATCTAAGTTTCCATCTTGTATCATAACCCTTCTGCTTAAAGAATTTCCTTTAACTGAAGTATGGGTCTGCTAGTAATAAATTCTCTTTATTTTTCTTTGTCTGAAAAAATTTTAATTCACCTTGATTTTTGAAAGATATTCTGCTGGATTCACTGGATTGGCAGGTTCATGCATTCATTTCTTTTGGTGGAGTCTTTAGGGTTTTCTAAATATAAGATCTTATCATGGGCAAACAGGGATAGTTTGACCTCCTCTTTCCTGGTTTGGATGCCCTTTATTTTTTTCTCTTGCCTGATTGTTCTGGCTAGGACTTCCAGTACTATGTTAAATAGAAGTGGTGGCAGTGGGCACCCTTGTCTTGTTCTAGTTTTTAGGGGGAATGCTTTCAATTTTTCCCCAGCACAATATTGGCTGTGGGTTTGTCATATATGGCTTTTATTATTTTGAGATGTGTTCCTTCTATGCCTACTTCATTGAGGGTTTTTATCATGAAGAGGTGCTGGATTTTATCAAATGCTTTTCTGCATCTATTGCAATGATCATATGGGTTTTTTGGGGTTTTCTTTCTTTGTTTTTTGTTTTTGTTCTTGTTGTTTTGCTTTTCCACCAGATACTGCTGTGCCTAGCTGCATTAAACTACAGTCCTTTATCCATAGCATCTGGTGGGAGGGCAATGAGCAGGGATACAAATGCATACAGATTGGTAGACTAGGTGATGGCAAGAGGATTTCCTGCCTAATCATTAACATATAAATTGGCTCTGCCATTTAAATATACCTTATAATCCTTTCTGTTTTCTGACTATCATACTTTATAGTGATCAGATTTTGCCCAAGAAGTTATTTTTTAATTTCTGCTGCATTTTTAAAAGAAAATATAATTAGCTGTGTGATCCAAATGTTTTATAACAATAGCATTCAGCTTCAAATATTCTAGATCCTGTATGCAGAATCATATTATTTGAATACCAAATGTACTTTTTTAAGACTCAAGGACAAAAGAAAGTTGCTAGCATGATGGAAAGTAAAGAGGTACACAAAGGAATATTTCAGATTGAATGGGAGCATAAGAAAATGGAGATGGAAATGGAAGATCTAAATCAAAAGGCTTGGGATATTCAAATGCTGTTTTTCTCAAGAGATCGTCAAAAGGTAAGTTCTCCCTGCCCCCCCCGTCCCCCTCCCCCACAACATAGTTTTAATTTTAATCATTAACATATTCATTCATTTAACCAGTATTTAATCAGAAGCCTCTGTGATGTCAAGAGTGTTCTCAACCAGGAGTTTCCTAATGTGTCTATGAATTCTTGTCTTTTTCTCCCAGTTGTTTACATTTGCTACCACCACTTCTTCATGATCTATTCAGTAGAATAATTCTATCTTACAGTTCACTAAGGATTTTCTAGTTGTCAAATCCTGTGGTCAGATTTTCCCCGTCATTACCATCCTTGAATTTCCTGTAGGATTTAACTATCTTGATTACCCATTCCTTTGCTTTTATCACCCCTGATTAATTTTACTTTCAACATGTCAGACCTCCCCCTCTCCTCCTCCTCTACTGGATTCTCTTTTGCCTCTAACCCTTCCATATAGCCATTCTTTAAGATTCTGCCCTTAGCCATGTTTGTGTTTCTTTCCATGCCTCTCCCTTGGTGATCTCCTCTATTTTTCTTAACTTCCCTGAACACTTTTAGAGGACTAATCCAGCTCTGTGGATTCCAAGCCAAGCTCCATTTTTATATTTCTCACCTCTCAGGAGCTCCTCTTCTTAATTTGCTTATTTCTGTTCTTTTCAGCCACTTTCTCAGGCTTGAAGTTTTAGTTATCTTTGGTTCCCCTCTTTCCCATGCCTTCCAAGTCTTGCCTAGTCTCTGTATTTATTCCCTCATTTTCTATCCCCATTGCCCTGGTCCCAGGTCCGTCCTCCATTTTGAATGGTTTAAACAATCTTATAATTAATCTCTAACTGGTGTCTTGACCCTGGGTCTTCCTCTTATCTAATCTATACTGTATACTGCTGTAGAATTAGTGTTCCTATTCGGTTCTAATAACAATACTATCCTGCTCAAACAACTTAAACTGCCACCTCTTATCTAGCAAATGAATTATGAAATCCTTAGGTGGGCAGTGTCTTCCAACTTAACTTTTCAAACTCATGTCTCACTGTTCCTTTTATACATTAGTATTCTCAAATGAAACTTATTACTATTTTCTAGGATTCTACCTCTGTGTTTTTATCCATACTGGTTCTTCTATCTGGAGTGTCTCTCCTAATTTTTGTTTTGTATACCCCAAATTTTACGTTTTTAAGGTCTAGTTTAAAAGTCACCTCCTTCACAAAACCTTTCTTGATTTCCCAAGTCTGGACGAATTCCATCCCATCACAAACCACCTTTAAATTTGCATGACACTTTACATATCTTCTGGCAATCAATCATAGCTGTATGTTCACTTTTCCTTGAAGGCTAAGTCATGTTATCTTTCTATCTTCCTCAATGTCTTTAAAT